ATATTTGTTCTATTTATATAATAAAAATAAATCTGTTACTTCCCAATAGAAAAGCTAAGACAACCTCCAGCAGGATGGAAGCAGTATTTGTCTGAAACTTATAAATATTTAAAAATTGTTTCTTGATTTTCCAGTATGACAGTGCAATGTTCTCTTAATGTTGCATGATATATATTTTTTAGGTACTTCAGGGGTCAAAACAATTGCTTACCTTCTTGGATTAAAATTGTAGTGCATAATCATTTTTTTAATTCCTCTTGCATCATGAAACAAAGTAATTTAACAGTGAATGAAAGCTTACATAATCAAGATCTTACGTGTAAAGTTTATTTATTTGGCATACAAACAGTACCTTGGCCTTCTCAGGTTGAAACAGTGGACTGTGCCAAAGACTTGAGCCGAAGGTGGCTTGTAGAGCACGCCGAGGGAAATACAATGAGTGTTAGATTTCAGCTACAGAACAGGATCACCATTTTCATGGATCAAAGGCTCTTCATTAAAAGCTCTGGAGCTCTGCTTCTGTTCTTTCTTCCATGATGTGACCCTCTTTCCGCATGTCATGATAGCAGGGGAATTTGAACCCAGGAGTTAAAGATTCAACTCAGGAAGCTCAATGGATAAACTAAACACGTATATTATCTAAACAGCCTGATTTACATAAAAGTTGGAGAGAACAGGGAGGTACAAAGTCACCAATGGGCACAGAGGAAACCAGGACTGGAGTCTAAAATGCATAATGCTCCACTGAAGGATGAGGGATTATAAGGGAACAGACAAACAAAGAAATAAGGAACAGCTTGCTAAACGAAACCGGACCCAGGTGAGAGTGGGTGTGGCAAGACTGAACAGGAACTACCAAGCTGAAGACTGATAACACAGAATAAAACTAAAAGTCAGATCAGATAAATAACACAAGTCTCAGAACGAAACACCAGGATCACAATATATAAGACACAAAACATCATAAAAATAAATAAATAATAATAATAATAATAATAATAAATAAATTTCCTCAAAAACTTCCACAAGTTTCATGCTATTGCTCAGATTAGTAGCTGGCTGGTGTGAATGTACAGCTTCGGTACCATTTTAACCATCTTCTGTTGCTTTTGCTGCACTACACTTTAAGTAGATAATACTCTGTTTCATACTGCATTTTCTGGCGTATAAGTCGCATCAGTCAAAAAAAGCATCATGAAGAGGAAAAAAACATATAAGTCGCATTTATTATGCGTCACCGCTGACCCGTCACGTTTATTATGCATTTATTTAATGGTCAAAACAGCTTCATTTTACCTGGGCGGTGTGGTGCCATCCATCCATCCATCCATCCATCCATCCATCCATCCATCCATCCATCCATCCATCCATCCATCCATCCATCCATCCATCCATCCATCCATCCATCCATCCAAC